TGATAATCCATTGTCACCAGTATAGATGTCAGGACAACCTGCCATGTTCATACAGTCTGACCAGGCTCTATACTGTTGGCTGACTTACCTTTAAATTTCCTTAATGTTATCCCCAAAATTGGTAATGGACAGTTCCATTAATGGTCCTGGACAAATCCATTAACTTAGAAATTCAGCAGATTAAGCGTTAAGTTTGAAGCCTTTCTAGTCATTTTTTGTATTGTTTTTGAAACAGAAGTACTTGACCTTGGGTCTATATGGCAACATAAAGTTACGGTACTCCAAATTGCACTGAAAGAGTAGAACTTATAAAAAACTTGTCTAATCTAGCTTGATTATCGAGTCTCATCACAATGAACAAAAACAACTTCCTGCTGGGTATTCGAACCCAACAAATGACACCAAAGCAACCAAATGGTAAGGGCTGCTTTGATCATTAAATCAGTGTTTATGAATCGTAAAAGCTTACCGCAAATTTTCAGATTACTTTTTATAGAGAAAATCCTAAATTAGCAATTCTAGCTGATTTGCTGTTACGTCTGCTGAGACTTCAATCAATCATTACCAAATAAATGGTTTCCGCATCAGACAGACAAGAATCAACCTCCAGAAACATTTCTAATACAGTGATATATAGAAAGCTATAAAAGTTCATCCATACAACATAAATGCAATATATACTGCATAGTATCGGAAAAATAGAATTAATACAGCAACAAATTTAATATCCAGTTTACTGCGTGGGCGAGTAAGTAGAAATTGCAATCTGACCTGTGAAAGAATCAAATTTTAGAAATTTATCTTCTAAATTAAATGTATTAATTAATTTCTAGTGCTGCACTATGTCTCTATAATTCTAACAATCCTTAGTTACTTGTATCCATTTAAATAGTTGAGATAGTGTGAAGAAAATGTTCACTTGGGATATATAAAAATGACAGTGGACAGTTTTACTTATTGAAAGTGAAAAAAAAACCTGACTGGTCTAGTTGATTATTAGTTATAAAGATTGTTGACAGGTTATATGGCCCTATATAAACGGCTGTTTGTAAATATATGATTATATTGCAAACAGCCATTTATATATGGCCATATAACCTGTCAACAATCTTTATAACGAATTTATAATACAGCAAGCATCATTTTTAGAGAAAAAAAGTAAGATTTCTTCATGAATCGACAGCAGCTGTGTATATAAAACTATATAAACGTCACGATTATCCAATGAAAAATGACGTTACAAACGTGCAGTATTATAAAATGTCAATGACTTGCCTGAAATACTTGTGGTTTTCTACTCCTATCATTATTTCTCTGCATTTTGTTTATTTTTTCTTCCATATCCCTATACTGGCATTTAACTTCTCTGCATAATACAAACAGTTACTTGCAAAATCCTATCAAACAACTTTTTTAACCACAATGTAACAAATAATTTTTTTTAACTTTTCGGACATTATACCACATTGATTGTTAACAAATAACTATTAAAAGGTAATTAATTTACTGGAAACATACAATAAGTTTTAATCCTTGAAGAATTTGTGTAATGCATTATGTTTTAACTTTCTGAGTCTTTTTCTTTAACTTTAATTGCGTGTTATTAAGTTTTAGCTATTCTTAAATTGTGTCTGATGCTACAAAAATTCATAAATAAGTTTAAAGTTTAAACAATTCTATTTCAACTTGATCATCACTCACTCACTAGTCTGTTTCTGATGTGTGAGGAAGCATGGCCATCTGGCATGACCCTAGCATGTTCCATGGGTTGGTAGGCAGACACCTTAACAACTAACCAACCTCTTCCATAATTTTGTTCCATCATAGCACTTAAATTGCAAGTGTATGCTTAAATTATTTTTTGAATTGTGTCATTCTAGAAAAAGTAAATAACTATTTGAGCCGCGTCCCAACAAAACCAACAAAGTGCGTTTGCGACCAGCATGGATCCAGACCAGCCTGCGCACCTGCGCAGTCTGATCAGGATCCATGCTGTTCGCTATCAGTTTCTCTACTTGTAATAGAGTTGGTAAGCAAACAGCATGGATCCTGATCAGATTGCGCAGATGCACAGGCTGGTCTGGATCCATGCTGGTCGCAAACGCACTATGTTGGTTTTGTCGTGACGCGGCTCATTTTACATGATTTTCTAATTCTACAAGTCTTTTTTCAAAAATAAAACCTTGACTTTAAGGCCTATGAGAATAATGAAGGTGATTCTAGTAAGTCTGGAAATAACATTTAATCAAATTATAATGTCAAATTGTCAATATATCAAACTTTATTCCAGGAAGAAGTCCCAATATGACATGAAATTTCAAAAAAAGGAGAAAAAAATAAAACTATTTAAAAAAAGCCTATAAAACTATATTTTTCTGGTCATCGAATCATACCAGAAAAATATGTCTTTCTTAATGTTTTTATGTGCAATTTGTAAAAACAGTTTTGCCATTACAGTGTTGTTTTTTTTCACCCAAATATTCGGCGAAATTCTGCCCCATTCCCCCCTCAAAATATAATGTTTTTTTTCCTCCTCAAAGCTGAAATTTCCCTTTTATGGCAGCCAGAATTTGCCTGAAATAAATATCATTTTTTATGCAACTAACTCATTACTGTTTAAAAATGTTTTCTTTTATGTCTGTAAGAGTTACTGTCAAGCAAGGTTGTTTACAAATCATTCTCGGGTAGGTAAGGGGAGCTACTACTGGTGTCCTAACAAGTTTAACATGTGACTCGTCGATATTTTAGATCCGTATATTTAGAAAAAGTGACGTATTTTTAACTTGTGTTGCAAGAGTTGGTCCCCTTTTCTTCCAAAAAGAATAAAACTTAAAATAAATAAACAAATAAAATTCCCCCTCCTATTGCATTTTCCCCCTCCAAAGGGCACCGACTCCCTTCCCCAAAAAGTGAAAAAAACACTGCATTTACTATTGTATCACCTGGTACAGTACCAATAGGTTTAATAGCTAGTTTCTCAATCATCAATGTAACAACAAGAGCAATCAATGACCACATGTGTGCCTGATGCTAGCCAATTGGATATTTGCAGCTACTGAGTAGCAGGAGAACAGGCTTAAACGTTTCTTTATTTAAGGATCATAACCCAGCCAATATTCATTTCAAAGCAGAAAACCTGTGTATTATGCCCAAGTTCTTGAGCTGCCAATCAATCTTGTTAAGTTTCTTACTGTTTTGCATTAATTTAGTGGTATAAGACGAATAGTCCAGACAAACTCTTAACCATTTAACCATTGAAGGGCCATAACTCTGACAAAAATTACTGGACTAGAAAAAAATGCAAAGAAATGCACTACTAGACTTGGCGTTGATTATCATCTTTAAGTTTGCATGAAAATGCACCAGTAGTGTTTGAGGGGTAGTCCAGACAAGTTTTGTAACGGAGAGACTTTCTAACGAGACAGTTCTTATGTGACTATTATTCTATTATTCTTTTTAGCCACATAAAGGAAAGTAGCCACATAAAAGCCTTACCAAAAGAAAGAGATCAAAGAGGAAGTACAGTTAACCAATTGTTCTTATAGCCACTAAGTATTATCCAAATGTAAGCATGGATAGACGAATGGAGAGACAACAGAAAAATGATAATGCTACTGCTACACACCACAAAATGGGCCAATGCTATTAATATCTTTTAAATGACAAGAAGATTGCAATCATACCACAGCACTCAGCAGTTAGAATAAGATTAATATTGATTTAACAAAAGAGAAAAACGCTGAGACCAAACCACACAACATAATCTGTAAAATGAGAAAAACCAACCTACCCTACCTATCCTTGTCTGTATTTTACCCTAACAACACTATTGACCTTTTTTTTTTTAGATCTAAAACCTTTTTCAGCCAAAAAAGAATACTTATTGGCAAACTAAAGAAAAGAAAATAACTGAATTAAATTATTCAAAACAGAAACTAAGAAGTGGATTTTCCAAGAATTTCAGTCACCTAAATTTAACAATTCATTTCTTTCACAATTATTATCTGATGTAATAATCAAAACCATTCTAAAATTGTAGTAAATTTCTAAAAAAAAAAGAAAGATAGAAAAAATTTGCTGTGTTATTTGTTTAAAATGTAAAGCGTAAAACATATGTTCACTTTAGAAAGAAAGATAGAAAATAAGTTACTACTTAAAATCAAAGTTGTGTAATCTTTGACTTTGTAATCTTAGCAACCAGCTATCAAAAAAAATATAGGTACTGTAAGTACTGTAAAATCAGAGAAATTTGCAAGTTATTGTTTCTGTGAATATAATTATAGATCTAATTTAATGTTCAAGATTTGTTTTTAAACCTAAAATTTCAGTGGGTTTAAATTGAATTTTGTGAAAGTAAACAAGTACAAATTATCTTAAAAAAATAATCAAATGTAAGAAAAGACTTTTTGTTAATGATCCTTTTGTAAATCCTAAAAAAGTTTGGCATTTACTGTACAAACTATGACATATGACAATACAAATATATAGACACTCAAGACTTTGAGTTGAATTTTTGTCTTTTTATCAACTAAACTGAGATATTTTCACTATTGATTAAATTCTGAAATTTTCTTACCAAAACAGCATAACTATGCTTAACCTGATAACTTACCATTATTTTTGACAAGAAAATAAAACATTTGACTCAAAAAAATGATTTGAGTTTAATTAGTGCTATCATATTCTAAAATACATACATGCAGTCTGATTTTAAGTCACAATGATTTTCCTAAAAGTGCAGCATTTAAAAATCATAATTTGTAACCAGAACTATCTTTGACTTATCAATTTCACTAGCTAAAATCATTCACTGACTCAGCCTTTGCTGTCAGGTCTATCTCTATGCTGTCATATGCAGGTGGAATTCCCAGTAGTTTCTCTACCCAGTATCATAAATAATTACTGATAAAACAACCTTTCTCCAAAACGTTCTGCAATATTTCTTTATAACATAAATTGCATCTATATCGATGCGAACCAATAAAAAATTCACTATTTACCTTTCCTCTTTGGAATTTGGTAAATCGTCTAAAGGAAGTAAAACTCCTTATAATTATTCAGCAGTGAATTTCCACTAAATTTATCATTTGTCAAAAAATTATGTAAACAATATCTTCAAAGTTTAAAAAGGGTGAAATAAATAAATTATGGTCTTCAATCTATTTCCAACACTTAAATTGTATCATTTTTTATTACATACGATACATAAAGTAAGATTTAAATAATAGTAAACAGAGTCTATGTAGAAGAAAATCATATTTGGCTATTCTTTTGCCTCCCTTCAATATTACCAAATAATCATTATCTGTTCAGTAAAAATCGTGCAATGGTCAATTTTTTGTAAAATTAATGATTTAGATTTAAAAAGATTATTTAAATATATTGTCTACTCTTTTTTCATTCTGTCAATTCTATTGATACAGAGGGGAAAATTTCAAGTATTTACCATATGGGGCACCTGCAAAGTTACTTTAATTGATAAACGAAAAGGAAAGGAAAAGCCAAATTTCCGATATTTACGAATTGTGTGTCCTAGAATTAAATAAAATTCACACTGAGCATGATTAGTATTAAATCAATCCTGAAATATTTAATCGTCTTTCACAGTTTTTGGAATTTATATATGACTTTAAGTCTATTGTTTCAGTTGTTGTTAATTACGGAAATTACTTTTAACGTTCTTCCATACAGCTTCCCTTAATTGAAAAAATTGAAACGGAATATCCCGGTCCCCGCCCTTATTCACACTAAACCCAAGGGCCTCTTTAGCTGGGCATTCTGCCGAAAATTACTCTGCCTCCGTAATGGAGGAAATTTAAAGAACTAAAATAATTATTCCACTTGACGATGAAGATACTCCTTTTTTGATTAAACTAAAATGTCCCGCTGACCGGGTTTAACCCCCTGGGTGAACCTCCAAAAATGCCCTCAAATCGCCCCCAAAACTCAATTTTTTTTTAAAAAATCTATGGATAGATTTTGGGGTAAGGGCAACTTTTCAAAACATGTGCCTTATTTTATCAAAGAAAATTTAACCTTTTTCCACCCCCCCCCTTCCAAGGGGGTTTTTTTTAACCCAAAGGAAACATGTTGTTTTTTGGTTTAAAAGAACCAAGTAAATTTTTTTGAGATTTTAAATTTTTTTGACGGGTTTAATACCCACCTATTTTGTAAATAAAGGTTTTGTTAAAAAGGGTTTCCCCTTTCCCAAAATAAAAAAAATTTTTCCCTTTGGATTCAAAGTTACTTTTTTTTTCCCAGAACACAAATTAATATTCCCAGCATTTTTTGGACACTTTTTTAAATAATAATTAAAATTTATGATTAATAAATTTAAATTTTATAAAGTGAAAATAAAAAAACCCATTTTTTTAAATTTTTAAAAAAATCCCCCAAAATAATTCCCTGTTTAAATTTTGGGATGTTATTTAAAAAATTTTTGGTTTATGTTTTCCCAAAAGACAAAAAACCCTTTAAATCCCTTTTAAAACCCAGTATTCTGTTAGGGGTTTAAAGCTAGTCATCATTGTGAAGTGTTACTAGTATAAATTTATTGACATTTTACAACATTGCAATAGCTTACTTATAAATCATCAATTTTCAAAACATAAGGTTGTTAACGAGGAAGATAAAGAAAAGTGATAATTACATACAATTTTATTTGATATCATACATGTCCCACAATTACATTTCATGATTTATTTACAAAGTAATTTTTAAGTGTAACTGTTTACATTTTGCAGGGTTGTGAAAGAAGAAATTATAGATTGAAGAACAGAGGTTGCCATGTTTCAATGGCAGAGTTGTTTCATGGGTAAGTTTGTGATGTGCTATTTTTGTGAACATAATGATGAAAGAAATTATTTGTTACGGAATGTAGTCTAGCTCGACATTTTAATATATATATAATATATAAGAAGAAGTGATGTTAGGTTACTGTAAATTATGCAATATATGATATAAAATATGAAATGAATCTATTTACTATATATATATATATTTTAATTTTCTGTGATGCCCCAACTGGGTAACCCTGTCAATTTTATAAATATGTTATTTTCATTTTGTTTGTATATTAACAGTTGGTTGCTGCAGAGAGTAGTAAATGCGTCTGATACCCAATCACCAGTTTACAGACTCGCAGGCTGGTGATATCCATATGCCAACAGAGAGGGTAGGCGGTATTGGTGATAGTAGGCCACCTTCTTTCCAGTAAGTTGTTTTGTAACATATAATACACAAATGTATCAATAAGCTGAACTAGTGATATGATGCAGACCCCTTTACAAGGTTGATGATTATCATTGATAGAATATGTATCGATCTGCAGGGGGGGGGGACTAGAATGAATTTGGACAGTTTCGATATACATGTATCATTAAAAAAACTTAAATGTTAATAGATAAAGGATATTGAATGAGTGTAGATTTATTACTAAATTCATTGAACAAGTTGGATAAAATGGTTTTATGGGAGCTTTTTGTGTCGCCTTGAAAAGGTGACATATAGGGGTTACTTTTGTCGGCGGCGGCGTCTGTGTCGGCGTCGTTGTCGGCGTCCCCTAAAGCTTGTCCGGAGCATAACTCAGTCACTATAAGTCTGATTGACTTCAAACTTGGTATGCATGCTTCTTTCAATAACCCGAAGTGCAGTGCACAAGAACCGGTACTCTGCAGTTCTTATTTTTTGAGTTATTGCCCTTTGTTAATTTTCATACTTTAATTTTGTCCGGGCCATTTCTCTTCAACTAAAAAAGCTATGGACTTGAAACTTCATAGGATGATAGATCTCATTATTAAGAAGTGCAGTGCACAAGAACCGTAGTACTCTGCACTTCCTAATTTTTGAGTTATTGCCCTTTGTTAATTTTCATACTTTATTTTTGTCCGGGCCATTTCTCCTAATGTATAAAAGCCATGGACTTGAAACTTCATAGGATGATAGGTCTCATTAAGAAGAAGTGCAGTGCACCAAGAACTGGTACTCTGCATTTCTTATTTTTTGAGTTATTGACCTTTGTTTATTTTCATACGTTAATTTTGTCCGGGCCATTTCTCCTTAAGTATAAAAGCTATGGACTTGAAACTTCATAGGATGATAGATCTCATTATTAAGAAGTGCAGTGCACACGAATCGGTACTCTGCATTTCTTAATTTTTGAGTTATGGCCCTTTGTTAATTTTCATACTTAATTTTTGTCCAGGCCATTTCTCCGAAAGTATAAAAGTTATGGACTTGAAACTTCATAGGATGATAGATCTCATTAAAAAGAAGTGCAGTGCATAAGAACTGATACTCTGCATTTCTTATTTTTGAGTTATTGCCCTTTGTTGATTTTCTTACTTTATTTTTGTCCTGGTCATTTCTCCTCAAGTATGAAAGCTATGGACTTGAAACATCATAGAATGATAGATCTTATTGATAAGAAGTGCAGTGTACAGAAACTGCTGCTCTGCACTTATTATTTTTTGAGTTATTGCCCTTTGTAATTTTTCATATTTCATTTTTGTCCTGGCCATTTCCCCTAAACTACATTGTTCACAAGGCGACACATCCGACTCGTGGAGTTCTAGTTGCTAGCATAGTATTGTTTTATTCAACAAGTTCAATAAAAAATCAATATTAAATATAGTCAAATATGATACTGTTTTTATTACATGTCCAAAAGAAGAACTGTTTGCAGGGCTCATCCTGGGGGGAAATTTTAGGGAGAAGTGACGACCTCGCGAAAATTAGGGAGAAGGGAAACAACCCATTGTGTATGCATTAACATGCATGGCTATACATCCTTTAATTATAATATAAACACAAATAACATCACTTATAATATTTCTCCAGTTTATTAATTAATAGAAGATTAATTAATAGTAGTATTAATTAAAAGTAGATTAATTATTTAGTAGTAGATCAGGCAATGGCATCTAAATGTTTTTGAGCTGCAAATATGAATATAAAAAATTATTTTTGATATCTATTGATCAGCTATTTATAAGCTTTCTCTAAATATGTGTTTATATATTTTCATGAGATATGATGATAAAATCAATTTCATATTTTTTACTTTACTTTCTTCACCTTTAAAAGAAGATGAAGTCACATTGGATATTGATTAATAATATCTGTTCTATTCTGTTCTGGTAACTCACATTGGATAGTGATGAATAATATCTGTTCTATTCTGTTCTGGTAACAGAAATTTCTCTCAAAGTCCCGAATGTTGTAATGTCACATTTATATGCATATAATTATGCTTATAAAACAATTTTCAAACATCAAAGAATATGTAAAATATGTACTGCAAACATTTGTGTACATTATATTTGATCACTAAAATTACATACATTCATTTCTTATTGAGAAATAGTAGAAAATTAATTTCTAATTACCTCCCTTTATTTTCATGAAATGTTAAATTCGGTAATATCTTTATAAATAATGCTTTTTAAAATTTACAATATTGATAAATCTTAATCTGAGCGTCATATTTACGAATTTATTTTGAAACAATAAGAACACTTCTTTCCAGACAAATGTTGTTGTTACATACACGTTACATGATATACGTGCGTAAACTGTGTCAAATTTGGCATTTCTACAAAGAGAACAATGCCAAACACCCCCACTGTCTACAACATACCAATCGCAAGATAATCTTAGATTTTTGCGAATTGGCTTTCTTAAATTTTCGCGTAGGTGTAACTATCAGAATCAGTAACTTTCTTACTGCTCGGTTTCGGCATTTCGCCTTGTAGCCATGACGTGAGCGACATAACAATTTTACAGTAAAAATTGATGTTAACAGACTGAAATCATTCAAAACTATGATTAAGTTTTTAATCTGGTCGCTGATCATTTATGAAATTGATTATTTTTAATTGACTAACAGTTTTGTGATAGCCGTGAAAAATCCATTGCACATCGCCTTTACTCGGGTTAAAAACCCACCATCGAAGTGCATCGTGTATATCAATTAGGGAAGATTGCACGTGTTTAGATAATCGGGGAAAAAACAATTTATAATTATCGCCAAATCCCGTATTAAACTCGCAAAACTATCACACAATTATACCGTTTCGGGCCGATGCTCTCATTATTTACTGTTTAGAGTAGGCGGTCTATCGCTTCGCTTACAGGTAGAAGGGTAGTATAAAGCGACGCTCTGATTGGATAATGATAATTAGCGGTCGTCATATGGGCGGATACAATCTCTGCTCTTTACATCGCTAAGTAATTACTATTTGGGAATTAAGATTTTATCGGCGATGTTGACTTCTCTTTGATCAATCGGAAGAGCGAAATTGGAATATACACGGCGAAGTTTTCGCCTGAATCGCCCTTCCGGATGAGCCCTGGTTTGTAGTTAAAAAAAGAGTCACTTGTGCCATAGTTTAACATTAACATAAGCCTTCTTTAATGCTATGTTTGTATATAACACAAATGATGTCATATCAAATTCTTATTTAATATTACATTGGTTGACTTTTGTTTTTATTAAAACGCTTTATAGTTTATTTAACCCCTGTAAATAAATATTTGAACTAGGACAATATGTTTGACACAAATTCAGAGCAACAGATAAGGTGCGTATTTGCGTATTTACGCAATTAATTTTATAAAATACGCAATTGATTTTTTAAGAATGCGTATCAAAACCCATTAAAGAAAATAAAATACGCAATTGTCTTAAAAACCTGTGCGTATTGTCATTTTAATCACCGCAAAATTAATCTGCCGTAAACTCGTAGTTTTGGACAAATTATATCCATATTCATGATATCCGAATATTCCCGAATCAATGCTAACTAATCAACGGTGTCCGGTCTTCGACGGTCCCCAGTCTCCAAAGACAGACAAAGCCATATCAATAAAGCATGAGACCGTCGATGTGTCTACTCAGGTTGACGGTCTTTACAGACCGGCAGAGACCGTTGATTTTGCGGAGACCGCCAATAAGTAGATCCCAGCTCTATCAATAGACGCTTTGAAAGCAATATGGCGTCGTACAAAAGAGAAAATGATTTGAAACAAAACAGTCGTAAATAACCAAAAATCAGTCAGAAAACGAACTTGTTAAAAATATTATGAAATATAACATGAGCATTTTATATATAAAAATAAAACAATTGTGAAAGTTGTAGTAAATTGTTAATCCAATTTTTTGTTTTAAAACAGTTTAGATTTTATTGAAACCATAAAATTCATATCTTCATAATTGAATACCCAATTGATCTTGAAATCATAGGGTTTTGATTTTGGGAATACCCAATTAAATGGAGCCAATACCCAATTCCAAAGGAAATGATGGAGTAGTACCCAATTCACTTTTAAAGCTTATCTGTTGCTCTGCAAATTTATCCATGGTTTTCACTGTATTTGCCACCAATAGATATTGTGGTGGTTGACACTAACAATTAACTTCTGTGATTAGGAAAATGAAATGTCAGAATGGCCTTATTTTCAAACTGTAGCCCTAAAAATAATGGGTCATAAATCAAAATTAATGCTTTTACAGCTACATTCCAAGAAAAATTAAACCAACACATGAAACTTCAAATGGATTTTATTGATTTCTTCATAAAGAAATAACAAACATAAATATCAAGATATGTGATTTTCAACCTAATCACAAGTGATTTTCACATTTAATTGAAGCACAATTATATTGAACAGTGGAATGTTAAGAAAGTTATTCTTTCCAAATTTATTTCAAGCTCATTAATTTTAGGACATGAGTATCAAATTGTGTTTGACAAATTAAGATTGTATTAGATATCAACCTGAATAAGATATTTTATTATTTGTTTGATTGATAAATAAATTGTGTTGCATATATCTTATTTCAGTGCAAATCCATCGTTAGGTAGTAGAGATGATCACTGCGACACATGTACAGAAACAGACTCTGTCATCAGCTCGAGAAGAGGTAAGCTTATACCATTCCTCCAACACTTAAATTGCGTATGAGTGTGTATGTGTCCAGGGCTTCTGTTAATGGAAGTTTGGGGGTCATTTACTCCTTGATTTGGCTTGTGAATTTCAAAATGTAATGTTTTTTCCTTCTTATATACCTATATAATATGACTTCCAATGTTTGAAACTTAATGGAAGCCCTGATGTTTGATATTTTAAGTTATTTTAGTTATGGCTGCTCAGTGTTGTCTCTAAAAATCATGACTTGATATTATATTGATGCAGTGAATAGATTAGTATGTGTTACTTATTTTATATACAGCAAAATTTCTGCATGTAAATCCTATGTATTCTGGTAATTTCAGAAGATACAGTATAGGAAAGAAGCTTGGATAACTAATTAGTTCTGTGTTTTGCATTGATTTTGTTGCTAGAAATTAATTGATGACACTTGTATGGAGACCTTCTGATCATGGTTTGCTCTGTTTTGCTAATAAGGAAGTGCATATTTTGAAATTTTCTCTATAAAAAAAGCAATGGTTTCCACCAGATTCAAAGATAATCAAGTCCATTTAAGATATTTGTGGTGTTAATGGTTATATGTAAACTAATATTGAGATTTAGGCAGATTAGAGTTTCAATGACAGTCAGAGTAGACCTGAAGCTCTTAAAAAATGGAACATTTAATTCTGAATCTTTTTTGTATGTAAAAAGTCTGACTGCTGCAACCATTTGTGGGGTCTTTTTAACCTAAGATAATAATCCTTCAGTAATTAGTATAAAAAAATTAATTGGCAAAGCAACAGGACATCTTTTGTTATTATGTCATGACTGTTTGATACAAGGTCAAGGCCATTGTCTTGTAACATTGAATATGGCTTTAGTGAATTGACAAGGTAATCCATGGTCATAGCCAAACTTGAAGCTTAAGATTGTTAGATTGCCTGCAGCCAGTTAATCCCCTTTATTATAAGGTAATGGATTATAGGAGGCCGAAGGTTGTTAAACATAATTTTATCTCCAAAGTTGGGCCCTTCACTGTCCAGCATTGTAGAATTCTTTTACAGAGCAGAAATAACATGGACATTTTCAAAATCATTTGAAGCCATGATTGCCTAGTTCATTGTTTTATGATTTTGTTGCACATGACTCATATTCTGTTCCATGGCTTAAAGTTGATGAAATTGAAAAAGTGGATTCTCAATTTACATAAACAGCCTCTGTTTTAAATGCAATCAAGTGTGCAAGATCATTGGAACTTTAACCAGTTTCAAGGCTATAATGTTTTGAAATGACCAGGACCTATGTTATTTCACCTTTTTGTGTTATACATTTAATATTTTTTATCACAAAATAAAACAAACAGATCTTTTCACAATAACAGCCAGTAAAAAGATTTGAAAAAGGGAGGTCCTCAAAGATGAATGAAAACACAAATCTCCCAAACCCGTAAGCTGTATTCAGCTGAGCCTATTATAATACTTGAATTATTAGGGTAAAAAACCCAATTGATTTCAAGGTCATGTGGTCCAGTTTCATCATCATTTCAACAGACTTGTTGAAAAAAATAGCTGCAATTTTGTTTGTATTCTCGTATCCATGTTTTAATTTAGATCCTGCATGTTTTATGATGGAATTCATTTCCCTTGATATTGACAAATAGCATTGTTTGTCTATTGGAGAATAGTGTATTTTAGTGTATTCTTTTGTAAACTCCCACAGGTTTACAATTACATCATGTTTCTAATATTAGTCTCAATGAAATTTGAGGAAACATTGATTTGGGTTTCACCAATACAGTTATCCTTTCTTGTGAAGATGAAAGTAATGCTATAAAAGTATAATTTGTACTTGAAATAAAAACATGTGAGGCTTTATTTATCCTTGTCCTTGATGCTTAAAGGAGGACCAAAACCATTAGTACAATGGTTATTCCTTTGTGTTTTCTATTTTTATATACATTGTATTTCCTGAATGGTTTTGTCAAGTTAAGATAATGATCTATGGTAACGGTTAAAAGCTGAAAATGAGTTTCCATAGAAAATATGCTCTAACACTTGAGTTTTGTGGTATTGAAATTGGGTAGTTTATATGCTTGTGTTGTATTTGCCACTTCTCTTGTACTCTTGAATCTTGAAGATGTTAATATTAATATAATAATGTCTGTTTTGAACTGGTTGTTTGTCAGTTAATTTTTTAAACATCTGTGTTCAAATTAAACTGATAGTTTTTCAGTCAATTTCAAGCATATGTGTGCAAAAAAGAAAGTCCAGTGAATTGTAGTGATATAATTGCATCAGTGTACATATTAGTTATTCAGGAATGCCCTAACAAGCAACCTATTATACAGTTTGCTCCTAGATATTATAGAATATTAGTTGTTTATGTTTTAGATATTTGTTTTGTTTCCAAAATATGAATATTAATTAGTTACCAGCCATATCAGTCAATATTCAGGACTGCTATGTGTTGATTGAATGCTGTATATATTGTAGAAGAAATTTAGTTTGTAGATACAATTATGACATATATTTTGAAGCAGGTGCTCCCCTCTTGCACTGGCATGGCTCAATGTACCTGGAAATTTTAAAACATTTTAAGGAATGCTTTCTTGAAATGTCACTGTGGGTCTTGACAACTGGTTTTTGCAATTTTGTGGTTTTTACTTAAAAACTTAAAGACATTTTGCAGAGATTTTTTGTATTGGGAGGGGTTGGGCAGGCTTTTTTATGTTTTGTTGTTTCTTTTTCTCTACATCATTATTTTGTTAAACTGTTTTACAGACACTACCAGCATTATATTTATAATGTCAATTTCTGAAGGTGTTTTTTTTTTGGGGGGGGGGGGTATATTTTTGGCAAAGTGACCAAGCACCTGTCTCAAAATATATATATATAACTATGCCTTGAAATATTATTTCCCGCTCTGTACAAGTTTTAGATGTATGTATATTTTAACCAGTAACACATATATATTTATATTATGTATTATTATTATAATGTAGATGGTCGACATAGAAGTTCTCGTCACTCGTCACATAAACTCTGCAACCACAGTTGTTGCAGGGATAGTTCTAGTCTTGGTAAGAATCTTACATGTGACCACATCAGTTAATTAATAAGCTCTTGGTTGGAAGTACAGGGTTCCCACGGGTTGTTTTGAGAAAAAAATTCTAGTAGTAATTTAAAGTTTAATAAATACAAAAAATGAGCCTCCGATTGTTTAACCTTGGCAAACTGCACAAATACGCTAGCTGGCCTGAAATTTAGTTAAAAGCATTGTTTGATATATGAATTTCATGTTAGAAAAGGGCTTTGATAAAAATTAAAATGAAGTGCATTTCTAGAGTAATTTCTTAAAGTGGAAACCCTGTTACTTAAAAGGGGTTGTAGATGGAGAAATTTATTTTCGGGAACCAGTCGAGATAATCTTGCCTCTGATTGGTTAAATTTGAGAATGTGTTCAAAATAGACCAATGATTGAAAGAGGTATTATTCAACACTGGTTCCCCATCTCAAATTTCTAAATTTTGACCCTGCAGTTGGTACAGTTAGGTGGATGGTTCCTAGCTCTTAGCCTGCTGAATTGTTTTAATGGACCTCTTCAAAGCTTTCAAGGTAATTACTTATTTTTGGGATTTTAAATTTTGTGGGGCAAAAGTATCATAGCCTAGTCAGACTGAATGGATGTGTAGACTGGAGGCAGGGGTCTGTCACGTTAAGTACCAGCAGGGTAAGGGCTAGTTTGTTTTATTGAACAGCTTGTTTGCTTTTCCCAAAGTTCATGGTGGCAGTTGTTTGTTCTAGCTCCCAACATTGTGTGCCAATGAGACCCAAGTTTCTTTCACATTTTTCACAGTTTTCTTCCCTATTTCCGTCACATTTTCTCATACAATATTTCTCTCTTATTTTACAGAGTCAAAGACATTTTCAGTATATACTTATCAAAGAGTAACTCATTTATATTTAATTATAAATACATAAAAAGATATTATAATTATAATTAATGCTTGTTTCAAAAATGTGTAGGTCAACATATCCAATATTAATGAGGTGCTTCAATATGGCATGTCCACAATATAAGAAGTCTGAATTGATATTATCATTAATACTTTGATCTTCTATTATAATGTTGATCTTCTATGATCTTTAAAACTCCACAGACAAACTTTTTTCACTTGTTACCCACATCCCAGGGTTCTCAATATTTTTGTGTCGCCTTGAAAAGGTGACATATAGGGGTTACTTTGTCGGCGGCGTCTGTGTCGGCGTTGTCGTTGTCGGCGTCCCCTAAAGCTTGTCCAGAGCATAACTCAGTCACTATAAGTCTGATTGACTTCAAACTTGGTATGCATGCTCCTTTCAATAACACGAAGTGCAGTGCACAAGGACCGGTACTCTGCAGTTCTTATTTTTTGAGTTATTGCCCTTTGTTAATTTTCATACTTTAATTTTGTCCGGGCCATTTCTCTTCAAGTAAAAAAGCTATGGACTTGAAACTTCATAGGATGATAGATCTCATTAAGAAGAAGTGCAGTGCACAAGAACGGGTACTCTGCATTTCTTATTTTTTGAGTTATTGCCCCTTGTTTATTTTCATACTTTAATTTTGTCTGGGCCATTTCTCCTTAAGTATAAAAGCTATGGACTGGAAACTTCATAGGATGATAGATCTCATTAAGATGAAGTGCAGTGCACAAGAATCGGTACTCTGCATTTCTTAATTTTTGAGTTATGGCCCTTTGTTAATTTTCATACTTAATTTTTGTCCAGGCCATTTCTCCGAAAGTATAAAAGTTATGGACTTGAAACTTCATAGGATGATAGATCTCATGAAGAAAAAGTGCAGTGCATTAGAACTGATACTCTGCATTTCTTATTTTTTGTGTTATTGCCCTTTGTTGATTTTCTTACTTTATTTTTGTCCTGGTCATTTCTCCTCAAGTATGAAAGCTATGGACTTGAAACATCATAGAATGATAGATCTTATTGATAAGAAGTGCAGTGCACAGAAACTGCTGCTCTGCACTTATTATTTTTTTTAGTTATTGCCCTTTGTTATTTTTCATATTTCATTTTTGTCCTGGCCATTTCTCCTAAACTACATTGTTCACAAGGCGACACATCCGACTCACGGAGTTCTAGTTTTCATCAGCAGCCAAAAAACAAATTCCAGCAGGCCTTTGTGTAATTCAAACTACAAATTTCTGCATAAAAGTAAGAAAAATGTATATCTTATAGAGTTTCAACAGGACAAATGATGATTTCAGCCAGTCATTTTGGCCTGTGGCCTGCTGTTATTGAGAACCCTGACATCCTACTCACTTTTCATCCCATAAGTACATTTTGTACAGTATGAACGTACAGGATGGACTCAGCTTAGCAGGTTTTATGACCATGCTTGGTTATTGGTTATACTGGTGACATAGGCTTGAAGTCATTGCTGCCACTAAGTGTTCAGAATGTTAATAATTAATTGCTGCTTGGTTTAAAGTTTGATATTTTGTTTTGCTTTTACAAATGATATCCAGAGATACTCTTCAAATTTAAGACGTTTGCCATGTTTTCTTGTTTATTTTATATCCGGGTTTGTTTTGTTTGCATGACAGATATTAGATATTTTTATGTTATTTTTATATCAATTTTATGAATTAACATCTTAATGATTATATTTACTGTTATAAATGTCCAGCGTATTACTAATCAACATGATAATTCCACTTTTATTTTCCCTTGTTATGTACATTTCAGCTGAAAATGCTTAGGGATTTGTATATGAATGAGTACATGCTATTTTCTTGTTCATATAATGTATGCATTTATTATTTTACAAATGCTTTGAAGATGTTTACTACATTGTAATTTCATGCTTGCCAAACCATGGCATTTTAATTTCTCTGTAGAGATTTTATGACCCTCTACCTTAAGTAATTTTTTTGATAATACAAAATGTTTAGCAGAATAATAGATGATGGTAAATCTTGTGATGTAAAATAGCTGAAATGATAATTAGTTAAGGGAACTAAATTTTTAGCGGCTTGGGAAACTTTAGTTGAGGGAACTGTTTTTTATGTGGCTTTGGGAACTCCTTATTTTTAGTGGCATAAGGGACTACTTTTTTAGTGGCTTAGAAAACTACTTTTTTGAGTGGTATAGGGAACTACTTTTTTGAGTGGTATCAGTTTAGCTGCCTTATTAAAATGGTAGTTCTAAATTGGTTTTTAGTCTCTCAGCCTTACTCTGCAAGGTGTTAAGAAATTTTATATTAAAAAGTCAAAGACTTTTGGGGGAAAATTGGGAATGTATACAAGACTGAGGTGGCATAAGAAAAATACGTTGGCCTTTTAGTGATGAAAGGGTTAAGTCATAAAAAAACCTTTGCTTGAATGCTTGGCATAGTAACTTTAAATATATAAAATGCTATAAATAGATCTTCAGTACCGAGCAACACAAATTTACTACAATCATAAATTGCTATGTAAATCATGATCTTACTCTAAAAATGAAATTTTGAGATTTTTGATAAAAATCATGAATGTAAGATTAAAAGTATAGTTAAATACTTTACTTTTGTAGTTGTCATAAAAATCATGATAATACTTCTTACATAAAAGATATAACTCTTTCTGGAGGTTACACTTCAAAAACGTTAAAACCAGCATGTTTTCCTGCTATATCCAGGTAATACTGCTCATCCTGTAATGAAATTATAATTCCATTTAACTCATCTTTGATCTTGTTTTCAGAGTCAGTGTTTTCTACAGTTTTTACTAGAGCTAATTGACTAAAGTAATTAAGAGCATTTTTCACCTGTTACTTTCACTGACACAGGACTGTTTTACAAATAGGTTGATGAAATGTTTTCATTTGTCCCAGAATTTGTTAGATAATGTTATGTCTTTGTAGTGCAGTAACGGGTTAAGTTTTTCTAAATTGAATAGGAGTTAATCATTTATTGCACTATTATGACTAAAGTGATGGTTTATGTTTGTGTAGTAAAAAGTTTAATATTGTCAAAACTCTTTGTTCGTTTCAGCGCACCCTCAGCGATTAAATGGTCACACAAAACTTGACCTTCGCCACAGAGACCGTAGAGGTCATGGTCACTCGTACGAGTCATCAACGATGCTCAGCAGTGACCTTGAAACAACAAGTTTCTTTGATTCAGAAGATGACACAATGAGCAGGTAAATGTTACTTGTCACCAAAAAATATAAATGATGGCATTTAGTACTCAAGAGATTGTGGATTTGTCATATATATGTAATCACCTTGGCATCAACATAAGGTAATTGTTAAGGTTTTGCATGGAATTTCATGTCCCATTTACCACTGGTTTAATTTCCATGTCCTAGTTTAGCATAAAAGTGGCCATTTCCATGATGGGTTATACAGCATATAAAAACAAATGCTTTTTCAGGTCCGAGGATAATTACTTATCATAGGTACTTAAAAAGTTAATTTTTATGCCCCCTTTTGAAAAAAAGGGGGTATATTGCTTTGCACTTGTCGGTCCGTCGGTCCGTAGACCAAATGGTTTCCGAGTGATAACTAAAGAACCCTTAGGCCTAGGAACTTCAAACTTGGTATGGTGATTGGTCATGACAAGTAGATGACCCCTATTGATTTTGGGGTCAAGGGGTCAAAGGTCAAGGTCACATTGACCTTGTAAGCAAAAACGGTTTCCGATCAATAACTAAAGAACCTTAAGGCCTAGGAACTTCAAACTTGGTATGGTGATTTGTCATGATCAGTAGATGACCCCTATTGATTTTGGGGTCAAGGGGTCAAAGGTCAAGGTCACATTGACCTTGTAAGCAAAAACGGTTTCCGATCAATAACTAAAGAACCTTAAGGCCTAGGAACTTCAAACTTGGTATGGTGATTTGTCATGATCAGTAGATGACCCCTATTGATTTTGGGGTCAAGGGGTCAAAGGTCAAGGTCACATTGACCTTGTAAGCAAAAACGGTTTCCGATCAATAACTAAAGAACCTTAAGGCCTAGGAACTTCAAACTTGGTATGGTGATTTGTCATGATCAGTAGATGACCCCTATTGATTTTGGGGTCAAGGGGTCAAAGGTCAAGGTCACATTGACCTTGTAAGCAAAAACGGTTTCCGATCAATAACTAAAGAACCTTAAGGCCTAGGAACTTCAAACTTGGTATGGTGATTTGTCATGATCAGTAGATGACCCCTATTGATTTTGGGGTCAAGGGGTCAAAGGTCAAGGTCACATTGACCTTGTAAGCAAAAACGGTTTCCGATCAATAACTAAAGAACCTTAAGGCCTAGGAACTTCAAACTTGGTATGGTGATTTGTCATGATCAGTAGATGACCCCTATTGATTTTGGGGTCAAGGGGTCAAAGGTCAAGGTCACATTGACCTTGAAAGCAAAAACGGTTTCCGATCAATAAGTAAAGAACCCTTAGGCCTAGGAACTTCAAACTTGGTATGGTGATTGGTCATGATCAGTAGATGACCCCTAACGATTTTGGGGTCAAGGGGTCAAAGGTCAAGGTCACATTGACCATTTGGGTAAAAACGGTTTCCGATCAATAACAAAAGAACCCTTAGGCCTAGGAACTTCAAACTTGGTATGGTGATTGGTTATGACCAGCAGATGACCCCTATTGATTTTGGGGTTAAGTGGTCAAAGGTCAAGGTCACATTGACCTTGTAGGTAAAAACGGTTTCCGATCAATAACGAAAGAACCCTTAGGCCTAGGGACTACAAACTTGGTATGGTGATTGGTCATGATCAGTAGATGACCCCTATTGATTTTGGGGTCAAGGGGTCAAAGGTCAAGGTCACATTGACCTTGTAAGCAAAAACGGTTTCCGATCAATAACGAAAGAACCCTTAGGCCTAGGGACTTCAAACTTGATATGGTGATTGGTCATGATCAGTAGATGACCCCTATTGATTTTGGAGTTAAGGGGTTAAAGGTCAAGGTCACATTGACCTTGTAGGTAAAAACGGTTTCCGATCAATAACTAAAGAACCTTAAGGCCTAGGAACTTCAAACTTGGTATGGTGATTTGTCATGATCAGTAGATGACCCCTATTGATTTTGGGGTCAAGGGGTCAAAGGTCAAGGTCACATTGACCTTGTAAGCAAAAACGGTTTCCGATCAATAAGTAAAGAACCCTTAGGCCTAGGAACTTCAAACTTGGTATGGTGATTGGTCATGATCAGTAGATGACCCCTAACGATTTTGGGGTCAAGGGGTCAAAGGTCAAGGTCACATTGACCATTTGGGTAAAAACGGTTTCCGATCAATAACAAAAGAACCCTTAGGCCTAGGAACTTCAAACTTGGTATGGTGATTGGTTATGACCAGCAGATGACCCCTATTGATTTTGGGGTTAAGTGGTCAAAGGTCAAGGTCACATTGACCTTGTAGGTAAAAACAGTTCCCGATCAATAACGAAAGAACCCTTAGGCCTAGGGACTTCAAACTTGATATGGTGATTGGTCATGATCAGTAGATGACCCCTATTGAGTTTTGGGTCAAGGGGTCAAAGGTCAAGGTCATGACCAGTAGATACTTGATAACCCTTATTAATTGTTTGATCACTGGGTCAGAAGTCATGCATAATTACCTTATCACATGAATAATTGGCTGCTGATAGGGGGCATACATGTTTTACAAACATATCTTGTTTTAAAGGCCCCTCAGAAATGCTTTTATTTTTAGTTCTCAAAAGTTATTTGATTTTTGGGTACTTTAATATTATCCAAAATGTTACGCATTTGCCAATTACCAGAATCATGATGCTCTTTTTCATCTGCTGCTTACAGCAATAGTAAATTAGTATTTTGTATGGAAGTCAAAATACTACTTTGTTTACATTTTGCTACTTTTATGACATATTATTTCACATTAAACCATTATTGACACAAAAAAATTCATGCTAGCCCTTTCTAAAGAAGTTATAAGTTACAGTAAAACTTGTCATATGTGACTTTCTATGGGACCATATCAAAAAGGTCACATATGACAGGGAGTCTTTTAATCCAGGTTCCCCAAAAAAATCATCAGTCGTTTCAAAATGCTATCTTTACTTGTTTGTCTTTTCTTTGATTGTGTTTTCTTTGTGTTACATATATGTAGTATTTAAATATGGTTTGTTGAAGATATAAGATATAATTTTATTTAAATACTTTATTATACAGTAAAAACCCGCTTTACGACCACCCCGTTTTCGAGACCAACCCGCTAATACGAACGATTTTTTAAAGACCCGAATTTTTTATTCTTTATTTTAATGGTCGCTAACCCCGATTTTGAGACCACCCCGTTATTCCGTAATGCGACCAGTAAATTCAGTCCCATTTCGTAAATTCTGTACATTTGGAAACCCATAAATACGACCGCGGGCACTTTCTCACCTTGATATTGACATGCGTGTATATTGCTGAAATCTTTTTGACACGTGATGTAAACAACAGTTGTCCTAGTTTTACGACATTTAACGACATCCAGTTTACGGCAGAGGTCAAGGTTACTTTGTATCAAACCCGGAAATGATCAATAATATTGTCGATAATTTCTTAATTTCACACCTTTAATGTCATAACTGGGGGATTAAAACAACAAAGTATTGAACAGAAAACTTTCAATAAGTTTTTAGAGGTGTTGCTGCTATCATTATCTCTTTCGTTCCATAATTTTAAACAAATACGATTAGGTTTTTGAAGTTGTTATCGGCGATGAAAACTGTGAAAATAATTAAAGGTTAATTGTTCGGTGTGCTTTGTAGTAAAATGGTGATTTAATAGAGTAAGTCGTGTCATTCTTTTAACAAGAATGTAAAAATATGTTTGTGTTTAAAGACATTCATAATACATTTTGTACCTCTTAAGAAGTTTAAAAATTTTATAATGTTAAAAAGTAAAAGAAAATAAATGAAAATAAAAAAATAATAGTGTATGCTTTATATCTCCTCATTTGAAATAGGTTAGCCCAGAATTAAGCATGTGTACAGTACATGGTATCCCTTAATATATTGCCTAGTTTTCTGTTTGGCCAAACTCATTAATGAGACCAACCCGCTATTAAGACCAGATTTGTTAAGCCCCTTCATTGGTCTCATTAGCGAGTTTTTACTGTAGTTAAAATGTTTTTAAAAATAAAAATGTTTACATGCATAATTATACAAATACAATGTATTATAGATATAAAATTTTAAAAGAAGAGTTTTTAATTTTGATTTCCAGTCTTCCACAGTTTTAACATTCACATCTCCTCTTTCGCCACTCATGGTCCCATATGATACTGTTTCTGAATTTGAAAGAGTCAAGCCAACCATTTAAGGCCTTAATTTCAGTCTTTCCCAGCTGTTGGGCAAATTCAATTGCTTTTGTCTGTATCATTGGACCTGTAAGGTTGATGTTTCTTCCCGTTACATCACGACACCATGCCAATGTAAGGTCGTTGACTTCTTCATTCCCTGGAAAAAGAAGGAGGAATGAATTTTCTGCTCATACATGCAAAGTTCAGACAGTTAGAAGTTTAAGTTTAAGTTTGGGGGGTGTAGTGTATAAACAGGCATTGTTGTCTTTTATTTTATGCTTTTCAGTGGATTACTGATTTATCCGTGAAAATTATATTTGATAATTTCACAGTGAAAATTATCAAAATATAATTTCACTTTTTTCAATGACGAAACTACTTTTTTAAGATTTTCCCCATGTGGTACCTCAATTTTATTTTTACCGACAATTCTGACAATGTCAGGCTGTTAAAAGAAATAGCAAAGCTGAAATAGATAAATAACTTAAATGTCAAAAGTAACACAGAGAGAAAACTTACTTCTATTCCTTCAAATTCCAATCACCAAATTTTGTCTCTAAATTTTTTTTGTTTCGTTTTTACAGTCTGAAAAATACATTCCTTCCCCATGCAAAACGGGCTCTTGATGACATTTGGGCATATTAAAGTATCCTACGAGCAATAACTGCCGTATGCTTTATGAAAAATTGAAAAGCATTGTCAGCCACCACTCGTAAAATAAGTTAAAACAACCCAGCGTTCCTTCAGCAAGCTTCCAATTTTTCCATTTTCCTAGCTCCTTTTCTGAATGTTTTCACTTCTGTCAACACTTATTTTTTGTCTGTTACAATCCTCAAATAAGTTTTCTTTCTTTTAAAAAGGTGTATGACTAACAAATCCAAA